AGATACATAGATGGGAGGACCAATTAGGGTCGTACGGCTTAAAGCACAAAGAAGACAGAATATGGAAGTGAGAGGTCAAACTTCAAAAACCATATATATCGATGATTGAACCAATCAAGCAGACGAGTAATTTCGAGTACTTTGGAAGCCGCATCTCTTGCAAAGGAGGGATTCATGATGAGCTATCGGCCAGGACAAACAACCTGTATGAAATGCAGAATCTTTAAAGGAGTTTTATGTGACAAGCGAATGCCAGTGCCTTACATCCCAATATGCCGCACTGTGATCCGTCCAACAGCGCTATGTGGGAGTGAATTTTGGCCAAGTACACGAAATGAAAAACACAAGATTTTTGTCATGAAGACAGGAATGCTGCTGACAATGGTTATCACTTTGCTGCATCATGCTTGTAATGACACAGTACGGTAGCTTCGAGCTAGGATGAAAGTTGCTCTATCACCAAGAAGATGCAGGAAAAGGGACAGCGACGGTGTGAACAGAAGAAACGCACAAGAAAGGCAACGTTTTCAGAGGTCGCTGGAAAAAAGACCATGTGGAAGGCCAAAGATGAGATGGATGGACAGAATGTCGACCCTAGAGAGCTTAGAATAGATAAACATCATGCCTTAAATTGAGAATTCTACAAATGGTGGATCCGTTCAGGAGGCTTACGTAGGCGTGAAAATGCGACGATACAAAAAATAATATAAGATGAAAGCGATAAAGACATGCACGGATAAAAGACATGGTAACAATACATACATGAAAGGAAATAACTTTGGTTTTGAAACAACCATGAACCCTCGTAAGCTGATTTGCAAAATCTACAAAAGCTTCAAATTCTCAGGAATTTTGAGTGCACAGCTTAATGATATTTCACCTACAAAGAGCGGAGACTTATTTCACTATGTACATGCCTAAGTTCTGACTAACTAACATTGAATTTTTAAATTTTTTAACATCACAAAATTTGCAAAGTTTTCAAATTTTCATTGGCCTGCATTCACAAGCAAAAAAAAGATAAATAGTACAGCAAAGCAGCAGCATGCCATGGTTTACAAAACGCGCTTAATGTGCTTGATATGTTTTTGTCTATCTGCCAACATTCATTTTTTATAGGAGGCATAGGGGAGTTAGTAATCATAGCATTCCCATCGTGCCGCCTTTTCTTTTTCAATCAAAAAAAATCCAA